CACCCCCTAACCACTCCCCTGCCAGCCTGGTTGATGCCTAACTGTTCCCCTGCCAGGCTGGTTGCCCCTAACTGCCCTTCCCTGCAGGCCTGGTCACCCCTCAACTGCCTTCCCCTGCAGGTCTGGCTCCCCCACCCCCAACTGCCCTTCCCTGCAGGCCCAGTTGCCCCCAACTTCCCTCCTCTGCTGGCCTGGTCACCCCTAACTGCCCTCCCCTGCAGGCTTGATTGTTCTCAACTGCCCTCCCTTGAAGACCTTGTCCCTCGCAACTGCCCTTCCCTGTTGACCATCTTGTGCTGGCCATCACGTGGGGCAGCCATCTTGTGTGTTGGAATGATGGTCACTTTGCATATTACTCTTTTATTAGATAGGATAGAGGCCTGGTGTACGGGTGGGGGCCAGCTGGTTTGCCTTGAAGGGTGTTGTGGATCAGGGTGGGGTTCCCTTGGAGTGTGGGGCAGCCTGGGCGAGGGGCCTGTGGTGGTTTGCAGGCTGGCCATGTCCCCCGGTGACCCAAGCAAAGGCCCTCGTATCTGGAATTTATTTATTTTCTATAATTGAAACTTTGTAGCCTTGAGCGGAGCCAAGCCTCCTGCTCACTCCATGGCTGCAGCCATTTTTGTTGGGATTTATTTATCTTCTATAATTGAAACTTTGCAGCCTTGAGCAGAGGCCAAGGCAGGCCAGGAAGGTGGAAGATTGGCTTCCTCTATTTCAGGGAACCCAAGCCTCCTGGTCTCTCTGTGGCCTCAGCAATCTTGTTTGTGTTAATTTGCATACTCGCTCTGGATTGGTTGGTGGGCATGGCTTGTGGTTTGTAGCGGAGGTATGGTCAATTTGCATATCACTCTTTTATTAGATAGGATATAAATGTGTTTGTCTGTGTATTATGTGTGGTAAATTTTCAGCATCTGGATGGCATTATTAGGATATAATATTTTATTGGCCTAATTTAAAAGAATATAAATTAAGCAGAATTCTGTGATCTGGCCGAAATTTTCAAATATTAAAAGATTTAAGTTTGATTACTGTCTTTTAGAGTCATTATCATAAAATATTTTTTAAAACTTAGATTTACAAAGAGTTTATGATGTAATCTTTTGGTTAAGTATATTTGACAATCTCTTCAAAGTTTGAATTTTAAGACTTTTAACTGAGAAATGACTTTGGGTCATTCCAATGGGCCCTGGAATGATTCAAAGATTTATTTTCTCCTCTTAAAAGAAATATTTTTAAACAAAATTAGGCCAATTTAATATACTTGAAAAAAGTTTTTTAATATATATTTTATTGATTTTTTACAGAGAGGAAGAGAGAGGGATAGAGAGTTAGAAACATTGATGAGAGAGAATCATCAATCAGCTGCCTCCTGCACATCCCCCACTGGGGATGTACCTGCAACCAAGGTACATGCCTTTGACTGGAATCGAACCCGGGACACCCCAGTCCGCAGGCTGATGCTCTATCTACTGAGCCAAACCGGTTTTGGCTATACTTGAAATTTTGTGGGAAGCTTTGACGAATAAAAATTAATAACTATGTTCTATTTATACACACATATTTTGCTTAAATGAATGTTATAGAAATTTCAGTATGCTTCAGAAAGGAACTTGCAAAGATTCAGAGACAAATTCAAACAGAAAACTCTCAGGGTAGCATGTGTCCAGTCAGGAACACCAGGCAAACCAAGAGTGATAATTCCCTGTGGGGGCATCTGCAGTGATACTCTGGATATTTGCGTTTCACATATTGGGAGTTTATGTTATATATATATATATATATATATAATTAATTTCAGAGAGGAAGGAAGGGTGAGATAGAAACATCAATGAAGAGAAAGAATCATTGATTAGCTGCCTCCTGCATGTGATCGAGCCCACAACCTGGGCATGTGCCCTTAACTGGAATCAAACCTGGGATTCTTCAGTCCGCAGGTTGACGCTCAATCCACTGAGCCAGGGCTGTGTATTATTTTCAATGCTCAATACACCGCTTGCAATAGGTCATGTACCTCATTTTAAAATCTTACATATTTTTTATTCTTTATATGCTGAAATTATATATTGAATCTAAAAATATACAAATTTTATATTATTCTCTATGTCATTTTATAATAATAATTATTTACCAAGAAATTGTCTTAAAATGTTATATCTTATATAAAAGCAATTTTTTAAATCAATTGCATTATAATCAAATCCATAACCATGTCAGTTTTAAATTTTGTCACTCATGGACAGCTGTTGCTTTACTGTTATGCACCTGCAGGTGTATTGTATCTTTTTTTTTTTTTTTTTTTTTTTTACAGAGAGGAAAGGGGAGAGATAAAGAGCTATAATAGAAACGTCAAATGAGAGAGAAACATCGACCAGCTGCCTCTTGCACACCCCCCACTGGGGATGTGCCCACAACCAAGGTACATGCCCTTGACTGGAATCGAACCCGGGACCTTTCAGTCCACAGACCAACGCTCTACCACTGAGCCAAACCGGTTTCAGCTGGTATATTGTATCTTTAGAAAAATCCATGTAAAGGACTCTGCCCTACTCTAAGTTGCAGGCTTCTAAGCAGGCCATATGTTTGAACTGGATGAAGATTTATAGAACTTCAAGGAATAACTAAATTCAAAAAACTGCTAGCAAATAATCAGGATAAACAAAAACAACTGTGGGACTAAATGAGCTGAGACTAACTATTCTCAATTCATTTGCCACTGAGCCAAACTGGTCCCGGCAAGATTAATTATTCTTAAAATATGGTTGATTTTTAAATTTTTGTTTCCCAAATACAAGGAAAACGAAAAAGCAGACATTATAGAAACTGCATTATAGAAACTAATAAATTAGTAACCTTCATTTCACAGTATTCCCAGGAGGTAAAGATTCAAAGACCATGACAACCTGGAGATTTTTTTTTTGTCCATTGGGAAATACATTCATTAAAGACTCTCTCCAACAGTGTTAAAGGGACATTATCTTATAAGGTGCCTAACCACGAATGGACATTTGCCCCTGTCTCTGACACTCTCCTTCATCTCAAAGATGAGAAGCCACTGACTATGGAGGAGGTAGACAGCCATCCCAAAACATCAACAAGGAAGGCCTTGTATGCTCACAAATTGATGCTGCTCAAACCTTGTTCTTATATCACCTAACTGTTATTGATTGAATGAATATAGTACCTCCTTATGGTACCCTAATGGAAACAATATATGTCTCCCCAGACCTCTCTCCTTACTAGACATGAAAAATTTAACTTGGGTACCTGCTAATCTTTCTCATCTACTAGACAATGATATTCTGATTACCAGCTATGATAATGAAGTTAATGTTTTGTTGGCCACACACTAGTGGTCTTCTACTATCAACATATGCTTTGATATACTTTTTCAGGCTATATCTATTATAAAGGAACTCTCTTGGACAAACCCCTCCAAGAACACTCCCTAATAATTCCCCTGGTAGAATTGTATATAGATCTAGATGAGTATTTTAGATGAATATTGTCTAAATATTGGAATGGATGAAATTAACTGCCCAGAAGAAAAATTAGAACTTCTGGATAACAGTAGATATTTGTTTCACCTCAGATCCTTCCTTGTCTAATCAGTGTTAGTGATTTAATATTGTTACTTTTGTTCCTGGTATGTAAATGTCATATTAGATGTAAAAAAAATAACCCTCAAAAGTTAAGACAAGACGAAGCCGGTTTGGCTCATCGGTCTGCGGACTGAAAGGTCCCAGGTTCAATTCCGGTCAAGGGCATGTACATTGGTTGCGGGCACATCCCCGGTAGGGGATGTGCAAGAGGCAGCTGGTCGATTTTTCTCTCTTGTCAACGTTTCTGGCTCTCTATCTCTCTCCCTTCCTCTCTGTAAAAAATCAATAAAATATATTTAAAAAAAAAAAAGTTAAGACAAAAAGACTCAAATCATGGTGGCTCAAAAATCAGAAAAGATCCAGAATACTTTTTAACAAAGACATATAGAATCTGACTACCTTCCATTTACCTGCCTGCCCTAAAATATATATATATATATATATATATATATATATATATATATATATATATTTTAGAGAGGAAGGGAGAGGGAGAGAGAGATAAAAACATCAATTATGAGAGAATCATTGATCGGCTGCCTCCTGCATGCCCCCTACTGGGGATTGAGCCAGCAACGCAGTGGTTGAGCATCTACCTATGAACCAGGAGATCATGGTTTGATTCCAGATCAGGGTAGGATGTATTAGTTTCCTGCTGATGCTGTAACAAATTACCACAAACTTAATGGCTTAACAAAATCCACACCAATTTATTATCTTGCAGTTCTGAAGGTCAGAAGTCCAAAATAAATCTTACGGGTCTAAAATCAAAGGCTGAGTTTCTGCTGGAGGTTCAAGGGGAACATCCACTCTTTGTCTTTACAACTTCTAGAGGGTGCCTGCTTTCTTCACTCCTGGCCTTTGCTCCAACCTCTGCTTGCATCATCACAGCTCTTCCTCTGACTCTGAACCTCCTGCCTCTCTCTTATAAGGACCCATGTGATTATATTGGACCTTCTAGGTTCCAGGATAACTTGCCATCTTAACATCTTTAATCGCATCTATAACACCTATTTTACCATGTAAAGTAGGGGTGTCGAACTCAATCAGAGAAGGGGCCAAAATCTAAAATCCAGCCTAAATCGCGGGCTGAATGGTTTACTGAAGAGTCATAAACTGTCATTGTGATGGAAACGCAGCGGAGTGCAGTGATGACAGCGCGGTGCGGGCCACATTGCAAGGCCTGGCGGGACAGATTTGGCCCGTGGGCCTTGTGTTTGCCACATGTGATGTAAAGTAACATAGTCACAGGTCCAGGGGACTAAGAAGAGGGATGCCATTCTGCCCCCCACAAGGAGGTCAGGGAGAGGAGATACAGCTGCAGACAGTTGTGTCTGAGAGAACCTCACTGAGACTGTGAAATCTGCCTCAAGATCTGAAGGGAGGGAAGGAACAGTGAGGAAATGAGGGAAGGGCATCCAGGACGCAGGAACAGCCAATGCAAAGCCCCTTTTCCTGGGACCGCCTCTTCCTGCTGCTCCTAAACAACAGGTGCCTCTGCATCTTGCTTGAAGAGCAGAAAGGTTTGAGATCCCTATTCATCATTGGTCTCTTGGCACAGTCTGAATTTCCCAGGGTTCCTCAAAGGGCAGATCAGGCTGGGGGGACAAGGCAGGAACCTGGATCAGAAAGACAATTGAGCCAGTCCTCCCCTCTACCCACAGTCCAACCCAGCGGTCACCTGGGCTCTGGAGTGGCCCTGCCCCTGTAGCGTTCGCCTGCGATGCCACTGGCACAGAGTGGCACTGGCCTCAGAACTGAGCTCCTGGGGTGCGCGTCCAGCTTCGGGCTGATAGTGGGCTATGTGGTGCAGGGCCCCAAACCACGTGGTCAGATAGTAACCAACTAGGGCAAGAAGAAGGTGTTGGTGCAGCTCTCCCGGCTTTCCTGGTGGCCCGAAGGCCCCTTTAGTTCGCCAGCCTTTCCTCTTGTTGCAGGGTGAGGCTGTTTGGGGTGCTGACATCTTGGGGATGGGGACTCACCTTCTCCCAGTAGCTCTTCAGGATCCAGGAGCTCCATAAGGAATTCCACGTCCAGCTGTGTCTCCTCTATGTCCGGACTCCAGATAAGCTCCTCGGTCAGCGCCGGCAGGAAGGCGTCGGCGCCCAGGGACTCTGGGGACGCCAAGGGCAGGCTCTGAGCTGGATGGGGATGTGCAGGCCCCTTCCATCCGACCCCCAGGACAGCGAGCGCTGGCTGCCCCTCACCTTGCTTGGGGTGTAACGCCCCTTACCTGATCTCCTGGCCTGCACAAACACCTCCCATAGAGCATGCCACCTCGCCCCTGACGTGCACACAGGCACCTCCTAAATGGCTCCTACAACCCTCAGGGCGGTCCACATCCAGGGAGACGCAGCCTCCTCCTTCTTTACCTGGTTTCTTGCCCGAAGCCAGGCCCTCGTAGATGTCCCTGCACATCGCCAGCAGCAACGCCACCTTGCGGCGTGGGGCACAGGCCGCGTGGAGGTGCTGGAGGCGTGCGTGGATGCGGAGCCGCAGGGCGGGGGCGGGGCCCTGCCCCTCAGGCCCCGCCCCCTGAGCTGCAGGAGGCCCCGCCTCTGCCCGCAAGGCTGTTTGCTGCCTCCGCAGCCGCCTCAGCTCTGGGGCCCTGAGCTTGCGGAGTCGAGCCCACAAGGCCGGCCTCAGTGGCGCCAGCACTGCCCGGCACAAGGCCGCCTCCACCGCGGGGCCTGCGAGGGTGGATGAGGGGAGAGCAGCTGACCCACACCAACCCGCTCGCTCCACCACCCACCCTGCCTCCCGCCACCCGCCCCAACTGCTGGCCACCACCAGTGTAGACATGGGTATGAACACGTGCGGGACAGGAAGGCTGGGTGTGAATACGCATGTGGGAGAGGGCATCATGGCTGTCACGCCTTGTGAGAGGGAGGGTGGTGGATAGAACAGGTGGTACTGCCTACAGGAAAGGACAGTGAGTGGAAAAGGAAGCAGGTCGCACAGAAATAGAGAGGAAGAACTTGGGTGTGAACACATAGTTAGGGCCAAGGGATGGCACATATATGAACGATGTGGGTTCAGGGAGTGGCTATCAATTCCCTCCCAGTCCTCCTATTACCAAGATCCTCCTCGTTCTTCTGGGGGACCCCAGGTCCTCTGCTTCCAAAGATAGCCCTCACATTGGGGTCCTTTGCCAAGTGATCCTGGAGGTCGATAAGGAGGTGCCGCACATCCTGGAGCAGCTCCATGGCAGGGTCCCCAGGCCTGTGGGGGCCCTCAGCTTCTGATGCGAGGCGCGCCTGAAGGCCTCGGAACTGCTTGGCCACATAGCTGCTCCGGGCCCTGGCCAGGGCCTGGACATGACTAGTAAGCACATCCTCCGGCCCTTCTTCTTCCTGGTCGTCGTCCTCCTCCCTCAGGCTGGCCAGAGCTGGCCCAGGATGGGGTGCCTCTGGGCTGAGCGGGCCTTCCACCCAGGAGACCCGATGAGGGGAAGTGCTCCTGGGGGCTGGATGTGAAAACAGGGTTGGTCCCACGGAACAGCAGCAGCAGCTTCCTCATCTCAAGGGCCCTGCGCTTTGCCAGCTCACCAGGATCACTTCTCTTGGTCGTTTCTGGAGCTGTCTCTGGGGGAGATAGCACCCCTTGTCCTCTGTGGGTCTCCAGGTAGAGCTTGTTCACCACAGAGATCATCCTCTCTGAGGTGCCGAGTTGGACACTGCCATTCTGCAGAGTATCTGAGGGACAGCAGAAATGAGGTGTCCCAGATGTCAGTGCACCAGGAGACTTAGTTCCCAGTCTTATTACTGAAAGAGCTGTAGTTTGGGCCTTGGCTCATCCTTATTCAGGCCCAGGAGTCCCACTCCAGTCCTCTCAGAAGCCCTTCCTTACCCTCCCTCAAACCTAGTATTTGGTCTGCCAAGTGCCATCCTCGGGGACCAAGTAGGCAGAAAGTTGTCTCTCCCTCCCTTAGAGAACCATGCCTCACCTGCGTGTTGTTCCCCAGACCCTAGAGTGGGAGGGGGCAAGAGCAGTGTTCTGGGCAAAACGTCCCTGAGGAAGGAAAAGTAGGAGCTGCAATGTGGGTAAGGTGTCTTAGGGAAGGACCCCCCTTAGCCCTTTTGATGGATCTTGTACCTGCTGGCTGACAGGAAGGCCAGGAGATGGGGAAGGTCTGGCATGCAGAGGTGAGAGGATTCCAGAGACACGCCTGGGGGAGGGCGCCAGGAGGGACAAGTTAGAAAACACGAGGGTGGCAGCCTCCTCTTCCCTGCGACTCTCTTTCTGAGTTCTGATTCCCAAAGAACCTTCAGAACAGGGAATTTTTTCTCCTCGGAAACCCTGTATTCTTCTGTGTCATTAAGCTTGCATCCCACTTATGCCACCAAATATTCATTCATTAGACTATAAGTATTTCTTGAACATCTTTCACTCCCAAATACTGGAGATACAGTTGTCAAAAAGCAGATATAATCCCTGCCTTCCTATGGCTTACTTTTCAGTAGAGGAAGACAGAAATAAATGAGTAGAAAAATAAAGGTAAGTGAATTATTATAAACCAAATAGAGTAACTGACAATTTCTAGGGCTATTTTAACTGTGGTGGTCAAGGGAGGTTACATTTCCAGAGAGGGCTGAAGGATGGAAACTAAGTCAATCATTCAAGGAAGAGCATTAATTTGGGGCAAACAAATGCAAAGGCCCTGGGGCTAGGACTCATCTAGTGAGCTCCGGAACAGAGAAGTGCAGCGAGGCTGGAGCAGAGTGAATGAAGGGCAGCAGATGGAGAGGGGGGCAGATTGGCTACTGAAACACTATCAGCCACGATGAGAAGCTTAAATATTTAACTAAGGATATTGCATAACCTTTAAGAGTTTAAGGCAGAAATGCATAACAGCCGATTGACTGAAATACTACTTTGGCTGCTGAGCCCAGAATGGATTGCAGGAAGGAAAGGGTAGGCACGGGGATACCAGAGAGGAGGCTACTGAAATTGTCCAAGAAAAAGGTGATGACGGCTCGGACTAGGATGGTGAAGGCAGAGAGGGCTGGGGAGATTTGGGAGATATTTGGAAGTAAAGTTGACCATTCTTGATGATAAATTTGCTATTGCTATTGACTATAAACTCGGGGGTAGGCACCTCACCTCCAGGAAGCTTCTGGATCTGATAGGTGTTGACTTCCCCTGGAGAAGGTCCTGTCCTCAACACCAGGACCTGGCAGGGTTCCTGTCCTGTGACCAGAAAACTCTGTGGGGTAAGACAAAGGTCAGCATGAGGAGGATTTGTGCAGATGTGTTACTTTTGCCTGCCTAGCATCCATTCCCTTATTTAGGGCTCCACAATCCAAGTTTCCTCTAAAGAACCCCACTCCTTCTCACTCAGTGTGGGTGGGCTGACTCCTCACAAGTCCTCAGAGTGGGTCCACCACCTGGGCTAGCTAATAGGATGACAGTGCTCTCTGACCACTGTGAGTAGTTCAGAGATGGGCATGTGACCCAAGCTCAGCCAATGGAAATCTCCTACAGGAATTTTGCTGAAGCTCTTTGGGAAGAGGCCTTTTAATTTTTATTTAAATAATTTATTGATTTTTACAGAGAGGAAGAGAGAGAGAAAAACTGATGTGGGAGTGTAACATTAACCCCTCTTCCCATCCCCTTCCCCACTTGGGGATCAAGCCTGCCACCTGAGCATGCGCCCTAACCTGGAATCAAACCAGCATTGGCAACAGCAAACCAATGTAGTCACACTGGCCAGGGCAAGAAGTCTCTCTCTCTCTCTCTCTCTCTCTCTCTCTCTCTCTCTCTCTCTCTCTCTCTCAAAAATATATTTTATTGATTTTTTACAGAGAGGAAGAGAGAGGGATAGCTAGAAACATTGATGAGAGAGAAACATCGATCAGCCGCCTCCTGCACACCCCCCACTGAGGATGTGCCCGCAACCAAGGTACATGCCCTTGACCGGAATCGAACCCGGGACCTTTCAGTGCGCAAGCCGACGTTCTATCCACTGAGCCAAACCGGTTTCGGCAAGAAGCCTCTTTTTACAGTGGCATTGCTAATCAGTTGAGATGTGCTGCGCTAGGGACAGCCCTCTCAGACACCGTAAGGAGAGCTCCCCCAAGGAGGAAGCTATGGGAGCCCCTTGAGTTGTCTTATCTAAATCTATCCCCTATTCCTTGCAGACGCCCAACTTTGTTCAGGGCATTAATATGCACAGCCATAGGAGATGAATTAATAGTCAGTGGTTTCCGTCTCTGGCTGTATAAGTCCTAGGTCAGCTTTAAGAAATACTGCTGCTGGCCCCCATCCATATATTCTGAATCCAATGTAAAGGCTATTGCTTTTGCTGATAAAACAGATGCAACTGGTGTTTCCTCTCTTCCCTTCTGGCCTGGAACACACACATGTGCTTAGACCCAGGGCAGCCACCGGGCAACTATGGGAAAGTCCAAGAGAACTGCACACGCTGCCCTTGATGCCACTTAAGTTGCTGAACTAGAGCCAGCAGTTGCCTTTCTGGTCGATGAGAGAGAAACATAGAAAGATAAATGCTGTCCTGGCTGGTTAGAGCATCAGTGCACACACCGAAGTGTCCAGGGTTCGATTCCAAGTCAAGGGTGTGAGTTAGATTCCCGGTAGGGGCGTGTGCAGGAGGCAATCAACCAATGTGTCTCTCTCACATAGATGTTTCTCTCTCTCTCTCTCTCTCTCTCTCTCTCTCTCTCTCTCTCTCTCTCTCTTTCCTTCTCTCTCTCTCCCACCCCTCCCTTTCACTCTCTCTAAAAATCAATGGAAAAATATCCTCAAGTGAAGATTAATGAAACAAAATTGCAACAATAAAAAAGAAATAGCCCTAACTGGTTTGGCTCAGTGGATAGAGCGTCGGTCTGCGGACTCAAGGGTCCCAGGTTCGATTCCGGTCAAGGGCATGTACCTTGGTTGCAGGTACATCCCCACTAGGGAGTATACAGAAGGCAGGTGATCGATGTTTCTCTCTCATCGATGTTTCTAACTCTCTATTCCTTTCCCTTCCTCTCTGTTAAAAATCAATAAAATATATATTAAAAAAATAAAAAGAAATAGCCCAGCCGGCCTGGTTCAGTGGTTGAACATCAACCTATGAACCAGGAGGTCAAGGCACATGTCCAAGTTGCAGGCATGATCCCCAGTGTGGGGCATCCAGGAGGCAGCTGATCAATGATACTCTCTCATCATTGTTGTTTCTAGCTCTCCCTCTCCCTTCCTCTCTGAAATCAATAAAAATATATTTTAAATAAAAATATATTTTAAACAAATGCCTATTTGTTTAAACTATTATAGAATGAGCATTTGTTACTTACAGCCCAAAACATTCAGAACTTCCCTCAGTTTAAAGCAAAGCCAAGAAATAGGATGAAGAGAACTGTATAAGTTGTCTGATACTCAGGATCCAAGCATTCCTGAAATTCTGGGATTTTCAGTCATTTGAATCAATAAGTAGCCTTTTTGGTTTGGCCTGTTCGTGTATATCGCTAGCAACCAGCGGAGTCCCAACTGATCCACGGTGTCCTGAGAGGGCCAGAAAGGGTCTCCAGCCATGAGTACTCACCCCGGGTGGCCACAGCTCCAAAAGGGCTTCTGCAGCCTGGGCATCCAGCTCTGGAACCTGCCACACTCCCCAGGTCCTCTGCAGCCGAAGAAGTGGCTCTGGGCCCCCAAGAACCCCTAAGCAGGTCTCTCCTGCCCCATTCTCCTGTGATGGGACCAGTCTGGGAAGTGCAGGGTCCAGGAAACCAGGGGTCAGAGTTGGGCAGTTGGACCCAGTGGGATCAAAGGTAGGGGTGAGGGGTCAGAGGTGGGGTGCGGGGTCCTGTGGGAGACACCAATTGGATGGGAGGGGTTTCTGAATCCAGGGGCAGGAGATGGATACCCCAGGCCCAGCAGTGCTCACCTCTCCCCATGGGTGGGGGCTGCCAAGGCTTGGTCCTCTGGTTGGGCCATCCTCAGGATGTGGGAGGCCAGCAAGCCATGGCCTGGCCTCTGGCAGGGAGGAAGATAAGGCTCAAGGCTGCTCTAGTTCAGGGGTTATGTTCAAAATATTTCCAACCAACATGGCAGAGACCCTGACCAATCAAAATGGACCTAAGGCTCCTTGCAGTGCCAGGTGTGGATTCTTTCACCACTGGATGGTGGCGTGCTCTGGGCATGCCAGGAGGAAAGTCAGCGTGTCTTGGGGTGGGGGGAGAGGGAGAGGACTCAAAATGACAAGCATTTACCAAATGGCAGGGAAATATCTCAGGTTTTAATATCTAGTGCAGACGTGTGAATATGGACCAGTTGAGTAACAAGCCTAGCCAGAACACAGTGCCTAGTAGGCTCCATGAGACAAAGTTATACAACTTCCCCTCCTCCTCCCTTCCTAGACCACAGAGGGGCCCTCAAATATTGCCCCATTTTTTTTTTATTAAAAACTTCAAACATTAAAAAAAGAAAAACGGAAAAGAATTTATGCCCACTACCTAGATTCTACCATTATTTTAATCTTTGCTTTTTCACATAGCCATCCCTCTATCTGTCCATCGGATCCCAACTCTTAACCAGGTACAGAGTCCTATAGTGGGTTACTAGTGAGGTTACCAGTTGAGGTGGGCATTTTTGAACATTCCCCCTGTAGCACTCCCGGAAATAGGAGACCTGGGTCCATGCACCCAGGCATCCATGCATCCCACAAACATGAAGTTCAGGCCCAGAATTAGGTGCCTGTGGCCTGGGGACAGAATAGGCCTGCTCTCAGGGACATCCATCTTCAGGGTGGGTAGAGAAGGTGGATAATAAACAGCTTAACAAATCAACCAGCCTGCTGACCAGAAGCCCAGGTGTTAGGAAGGGGGAACCAGAGCAGGCGCTTGTCCAGGAGGAGCAGGCAAGAGGGGTGGGGAAAGGAGGCAGATGCTCACCTGGGTCCCATGAGACCGGAGAGGAGGTGGCTGGTGCTGGGCAGAGCAGGATGGGAGCTGTTTAAGAATACCAAAGGAGGCACGGGTGGAGGTGGGGGGTAATAATGCCAGCTGCTGGGTCCCTGGGGGCCTCTACCTATTCTCCGAGGGGAGGCCTAAAGGAGCAGGAAGTGAAAGTGTTTCTTCACAGAGAGGAAGCTGAGCTGGCTGGAGGCGGGAGGGGGGAGAGAAAAGAGGCGGGGCTGGGAGGGTATCTGAAATTGACCTTCCTGCCTCTTTCTGGGGCCTTAGGCCTCAGGTAACAGGGCTTTGGAGGATGGAACCCTGATGATGGAAGTCCAGGCGCACCCGTGCTGTTTCTCACAAGAGCCTGTAGATGTCACGGTTTCCGTAAGTGGCCCAAGATCTTAGCCCTCCCTCAGCTGCTTCCCTGCAAGCCCACAGAACAGACAGCGAGGCCAGACAGCTGGTAGTTAGTTTTTGTTTTTAATTTGTCTCCAGTAGGTAACATCATCTGCCCATTCCGCACGGGACTTGGGTCCTGAGTGAAGGCAGCCCAGCACCACTTTGGGAAATGGAGGCAGAGAGGCGAGGTCTGCAGGCTCAAACCCCCCATTTATGAGTCATGTTACATAGTCTGTTTGGCCACAGGCCCCCAGGAGCGGTGGAAAGTATGTGGGCCCTACGCCCCGTCCTGGGACAGAGACATTTGGAGGCCCTGGGTCTCGGGGAGCAGTTAGATGTTAGGGAGGTTGATCCTTGTCCCGGGGGTCGTTAGAGGCTTCGGGCTGTTAGAGATGGGAGGGCGGCTCATGCCTCAGCCCCCAGGAGATGTTAGAGATTTGCCAGGGTCAGGGGGGCTGGGACCCAGTTTTAGGAGGGAGTGGTTAAGAGACTGAGGGAATGCTCTGAGCCCCCCAGACAAAGGCTGCAAGTTAGGGAGGACCAGGGCTGGTCGGGGCTCAACTGCCCCAAAGGAGCTGGGTGTCCTGCCTGGGAGGCGCAGGTGTCACTGGGGTTTCTTCCCCTGTGTGGTCCCAGCCTCCTCTTTGGGGGGCAATGGGGACTTCTTGGGGGAGGCTGAAGTGGAGGGGTTGGGGCTCCCAGACCCTGACTGAGCGTCAATGCGGGCGTGCTCCTTCCGGACAAGGTCTTCCAGCTCCTTCTGCAGGGACAATGTTTCCAGGAGTCAGAGGTCACCTCATGGGCCAGAGGACCCGTGGGGCAGGGGTCTAGGGACTGGGCTCAGGGAGGGCTGGGGTGGCTCAGGCTCCTCACCTTCCATCCGAGGAGGTCGGCAAGAGCCAGGCAGCCCTGGTCGCAGTCACCCAGCCAGGCCACATCCCTGTGGGGGAGTGAGAATCAGATCTCCCAGGCTTGCCCTAGGCCCCTGCCAGCTCTGCGCTGGCTGTGTGCCTTCATGCCCTCCCCCCCCCTTGGACCTGTCCCTCGAAGGCTCCACCCCCCACAGCAGATCCAGGCCTTACCTATAGGCCTTCTTGGAGTCAAAGTCCATGCCTCCCCCGAGGCCCATCATCAGTCCCAGGAAGGGGTCAGTCTGCAGGGAAGAGCGAGTAAAGGAGAGATAAGAGCACTCGGTTGCACCCCAGCTCTGTGACTCTGCTTAAGTGACCTGGCCTCTTGGAACCTCAGTTTCTTTATCTGAGATCATCGGACCCACTCCTAAGGGTTTACTGTCAGTGGGTTAACCCAGGGAAAATGCTTACAACAGCGTTTGGCACATGGCATGTTTTGCCTGTTGGAAGAAACATTACTCTCCGAGAGGGAGCCCAAAGCTGGTGACTGATGACACTGAGAAGGCCCTGACTCCAACTGCCCTGCCACTTCAGTCCCAGGAAGTGTTTTGGCTTCAGTTGCGTTGAGTTGGGGTTATGTCACTTGCTCAAAAGGGTTCTGGATGATCCAGAGCCTGTGGAATTTTAGTCAGGGCAGCCCAGAACTTAATCCCTCTGGATTCTGAAAAACCTGGTTTGGAGCTGAGGGGTCTGAACTACTGGGTTCCCTAGAGACCCGTCCCATCATTCCGAGGAGCCTGTGGGAAGGAACAGGGATCCAAGTGAGGACCAAGCAGGCAGGGAAGAACAAGAAGATGTGAATAAAAGCTGACTCACCTGGCCAGTTTTTTCCTTGTTGATGAGCAGGCGTGGGGTAGAGAGGGGTGCCCTGGGAGGATGGCGAACTGAGTAGTGAGGCTCTGTCCTGGCTCCCCTCTCCCCGGCGCCCCCAGCCCAAACCCAACCTACTTGCTGATGAGGGATGCAAAGGGCTGCACCTGCAGGGAGGTGCCCATGATGATGAGCAGGTCCACCTTCAGGAAGTCCTGTGAAGGGGGAGTGGCCATGGCCATGAGGGCCCCGCCCTCAGCCGAGGCTGAGCCCCTCCCTCCCCGCCCCAGTCCCCACAGCCTGCTGAGGAAGTGACCCTTCCCAGTGCAGGGTCCAGGCTGTCCCCACAGGGGCTGAGCACAGGGTGGTGATGGAGACACTTACTGACTGAATGCAGGAGAAGAAACGCGCTGGGAGGTTCTCACCAAAGAAGACGATATCTGAGGTGGAAACGGATGGACAGACAGACAACACAGGAGAGAAAAAGACAGTGAACAGGGGGAGGCAGAGTACAGGAAGGAGCAGAAGGAGACCTTAGGGTTGGGTGGGGTGTAGAGCAGCAGGGACAGGCGAGGGTACAGAGTCCTCTCCCTGGAGAGAGGGGGCCAGAGGTGGGTGGATGGCGACCGTGACCTTCTTGGGAAGGGGTTAGTGGGGTGGGGTGTTTCCAGGTTGGCATTAGATTGGGGCAGTCCAAATCTCCCTCGGTTGGCCCCTGGCCCCAGGCTCACCAGGCTTCACCACGCTCTCACACTTCTCACACTTGGGAGTCACCTCGGAGAAGATCTTCTCTGGTGTGGAGAAGGGGAACGGGAGAAGAGGTGAGAGGCTCTGGGCGGGGGCTGCAGCCTGCCCTGCCACCTCCTGCCCCTTTCTTCACCGCCCACCCAAACACACCTCAGTCACAGGGAGCCTCCTGGGTATCTGCCTGCTCAGAAGGGACCCCCTTCTCAGGGAACTACCCCCCTATCCTCTCCCATGCCCCAGGAGTCCCAGGGTGGCTTCCAGCAACAGGCTTAACTACTGAATGAGAGTCACCAAATGAGCAGACACTTGCTCCTAACAGGGGCCACTGGACTCCCAACTCCCGACCTGGGGAAACTGGTGTCAAGAGGGAAGTTCTGTCTGTGGGCCTTTGAGGGCAGCCCTATTTCCTCCTGGGTCAGAGAGGCCTGTGGTCGCAGGCCTGCTGGCAGAACAAGAGGGAAGAATATGCAGATGATCCTGCGATGGGGAGAACTCTTTAGGCACACGTGGGTTCTGTGACTGACTCCCCCACACACCATACTGTGACTATCATGCTCCTTATTGCTTATTATTATTTTTTAAAGTATATTTTTATTGATTTCAGAGAGAGAAAGGGAGAGAAAGACAGAAGCACCAATGATGAGAATTATTGATTGTTTCTTACTGCACACCCCACAGTGGGGACTGAGCCCACAACTCAGGCATGTGCCTAACTGGGAATCGAGCCAGCAACCTCCTGGTTCATAGGTCGATACTCAACCATTGAGCCACACTGGTCTGTCTCCTTATTGCTTATTAAGAAAACTTGAAAAGCATTCTGTCACTTGCAAACCATAGAATCCTAGCTTGTTCATTCAACTATTCATTGATTTCTTTGACAAATATTTAGAGAACTGTTTTAATGTCATTTATCTTAAAACATTTCTGCATTGACAGTATCCTATTTTGTGGGTGCTGCATGAGATACTGCTGTAAGTGAACATAACGGGATAACGCTAATTGTATATAATCCCCAGCTGCATGTAGCTGGGCTGTTCAGGCCTCCTCACCCCAAGGATGGTCAGCTGGCATTTTATCAGGGGCCTACTACAAGTGCTGTCCTATCTCCTGCGGACACCAGAGGCTTTGTGAAGTCAGCATAAAGGATGGCAGAAGTGGGTTTTCATGGGTAAAATAAGTGACTTCTTAATTCACACAGTGGATGTCAGAAATAGGCTCTTGCTGTATTCCAAGAAATGTGGGTTGGTTGAATAACTTTCCTCCTTGTTTTGGACACACTACCCTAACATGAATGGGGACTACGACCTTAGCAAGCCCTGTAGTCTGCACCTCTAGGGGCAGCCCCAGTCTTCAACCCTGACCAGCCTGTGTTCGGCTTCACACTCCATAGATTCTGCCCGCCTGAATTCATGGGCTAGTTGAGTCCAGTGTTTCTCATACAAGTGCTGTCCCATATGGTCATCATAGCAGATATTGCTTTTTACATTTAAATGAATAAAGTTTAAAATTTAGTTCCTTGGTCCCACTAGCCACATTTCAGTATTCAGCAGTCACGTGAGGCCAGCAGCTGCTATACTGGACCTGCAGAGATGGGAGGTTCCCCTCATCTCAGAAAGTTCTACTAGACTTTCTGCTCTTCTGAGAACTGAGTTCCAGCTGCCTTGATGAGCACCTCATGTACACTAGGGTCAGAGCCCCTCAAAGGGCAAAGAGCTAGGGTTTCATGACATCACGAAACAGGCTGTGCAACCATTTGGGGGGCTCTGCTACATGTCTGTGTGCAGCTGACCTGGATCTGGAGCTTGCATCCATCATAACCTGGCTGTGAGGTAGTGTTGGAGCAATGAACCTCATTGTCACCTCAAACCTTTGGAGGCTGCCATTATCTACGAAAAGGAGCCACAGAACTGTGCAGGGAAGAGCAGGTGCCCCCTGGGGGAGGCCCTGTCTCTGGAGCTGAGCAGTGGACCACGGGCAGAAGGCCTGCCCTTAGGGATGACCTTCAGCCCCTCACCTTTCATCCAGCTGAGCGTATACTCCTGCCGGCAGAGGGGGCTGATGCAGTGCGATGTGTAGAAGGTGCCATGGGCCTCCACCAGGTCCTCAGGCTCCAGCCCTGCCACTCGCTCCAGGGTGTCTATGTTCTGGAGGGAGAGATGGAGGGGAGAGGGTCAGGATTGAACCCCACACTTCAGGAGCAGAAGGCAGAGCCAAGAGAAACCAGTTGTAGCCAAGAGAAACCAGTGGGACAGGGAGAGAGAAGGTAGGGAAAGCAAGGGGCAGGGTGTGTCTAAAAATTCTGTTTGTTCTGATGGTGCCACTGAAAGGGTAAAAGTCATGGATCGTTACAGGCCCGGGTCCAAACTCAAATGTGTATGAGCCCAGGCCCACAGCCACCACCAGCCCATATGGCATTTCTACAAATTCAGGCCTCTTTGCTCCCATTTTTCAGGTCATTTGTTTTGTTGGAACCACACA